CCCTCCTGCAGGCTAAGCAAGCGCCTGTCACTGAGCTACACCCACTGAAATTTGTCCATTTTTCCACAGTTCCGCCTCCTGCCTGGAAGTTATGAATCAACAAATGTAAAGAAACATAACTTTTTTTTTTGGTACCAGGGATTGAACTCGGGACCTTGTGCTTTCAAGGCAGGCGGCGGAACCACTGAGCTAAATCCCAGGCCCAAGAAACATAACTTTTTAAAGTCAGGTATGGTGGTGCAGGCCTGTCATCCCACCCCTCAGGAGGCTGAAGCAGGATGGTCCCAAGCTCCAGCCTGGGCTGGGCAATTTAGTGAGACCCTGTCTCAAAGCAAAAAATAAAAAGGCCTGGGAGGCACCTCAGTGCAAAGCCCAGGGTTCAATCTCAGTACCACAAAAGCAAAACAAAAAAAGCCATTGATGTGTGGAGATTTCAGTGCTATCCTTGTCTGGCCACTCGGCTGGCTTCCTGCAAGGTCAGGATTGTGGGCTCTGGCAGGCCAGGCTCCCAGCCAGGCCGAGGCAGGGCTGCTCCCAAAAGAGCTCACTCCCGAGTCCCCGAGCCCAGGCTAAGGGGGTGGGGACCCCATGGCGGCCCCTCTGTCTCCTCAAGGCCAGGGAGAGGCAGCCGGGGCCTGAGCCAGGCCTGCCACCCCGGCTCCACAGGGCCCAGCCGAGGCCTCAGGGCCTCACGCGGCAGGAGTGGGCACAGGGCTGCTGGCCGGGGGCAAAGGAGTCCCTCGTGTGGGGGACGAGGGATGGAGCGGCAACTCCTTGGAGCAGAAGGAAAAGCTTCGGGGGAGCAAGAGGGAACCATCACTCCTGCGAAGGCCCAGTGATCGTGGTCCTCTGACCCAGGGCCACCCAGGGCAGCCACCGTTAGAGCCGGCCCAAGGTCACAGGCCCTTCCTGACGCCTGAGGCAGCTACGGCTGATGTTTCCTAAAGGAGCACAGGAGCGGTGATGCAGGCCTATGTTCTCAGCACTCTGGGGGGCTGAGGCAGGAGGACTGCAGGTTGGAGCCCAGCCCAGGCAACACAGTGAGCGAGAGAGACCCTGTCTCAAAACAAAAAAGGGTTATGTGAAGGCCCTGGTTTCAATCCCCAGTACAGCAAAATAATCATAATAGTAAGAAAGGGTCGGGGATTTAGCTCAGTGGCACTGTGCCTGCCTTGAAAACGCAAGGTCCTGAGTTCAGTCCCTGGTAACAACAACAAAAACAGCAAGTTAGCCGGGTGTGGCGGTACACCCCTGTCATCCCAGCACTCAGGAGGCTGAGGCAGGAGGATCACCGTGAGTTCGAGGCCAGCCTGAATCACAGAGCAAGACTGTGTCTTTAAAAAAATAAATAAAATACATTAATAAAGGACAGTGGCCCAGCTGCTGGCAGGCGGAGAGGTGACCTCTCTCCCAGGGTGGCCCAGTGGTGGCTGCTCCCCAATGCGGAAGGGCTTGTCCAACCCACACACTCCACCGGTGTGCCCACCAGGACTCAGTGGTGCTCACCCAGCCCTGCCTCCCCCTCGCCGAGGTGGGGACCCCAGTGGGCCCTGCACACTAAGCTCCGTCCCAGGAAACCCCACCCCAAGCGGTTTCTCTGTGGGAGGCACAGAGTCAGGGCTGGTGACCCCAGAGCAGGACGGAAGCCAAGGAGCGCTGGGCAGTGTCTTCCAGCAGCGATAGTGCCAGGGGCTAGGGAAGCCCAGCCACAGCCCCCGAGCAGCATCAGGGGCTGGCATTCGTCACAACACTGGAAGGGGAGACAAGAAAGACAAGTGCAGAGTCCTCGCTGGGGACGGGCGGCTGCGGGCGCTGCGGTGCAGCCAGGTGAGGGATTAGCAAATCACTGACCACGTCAAATACCCAGGAGGAGGGATTTGGATTGTTCCCGACACAAAGGAGTTAGGAATGTCTGACAGGTTGCCCATAACCTGGTCTGGCCATTATGCATCACACGGGGCCTGAGTGGAAAACACAGCGCATTTAAATAAAAAGGACTTTATTACAGCAAGGGACGCATGGCCGGTCACAAGGCCCCCTTGAGTCCTCTCCCTTGCATTGAACACACTCATCCCATCGTCCTGGCCACTTTCCGAGTCCTGAATGGATTCAAAACGTTTCCCTTCCACGCTCATTCTGACCTTGGGAAGAGCCAGAGTCACGCGGTGTGGATCCGGGGACCAAGGTGGATGAGGACACAGTGTCGTGTGGCAGCAGCAGTCACTGTATCTGGTCACTCCTCATAGGGACCCTCAGGGAGGAGGACTCCAGAGCTGCTGCAGAAAGCGGCGAGAACTAAGGGATGAGTGTGTTCGAACTGAGGAGTATTCTGAGGGGGATTCTGGGCAATGTGTCTTTTCTGGAATAATTTTTTAACATAAAAACGCTTTAATGTAAAGGCTCACTGTATCTTCCAACCACGCCTGTGTACATGCACTGCAATGTCACACTGTGCCCTATGCTGCAAATGTGCAGTTAGTACAGGCGGCCGAGGCACTGGGGAAGCAGGGGCACAGCAGGAGGGACAGCTACGTCCCGCTAGGAGCCCATGTCAGGAAACCCACAGAGATGGCAAGGAAATCGCTGGTGCCGCCTCCTCTTCCTCCACCAGGACAGGCCTTGCACTCTGCCAAGGCAGGGCCAAGGCCCGAACACCCACTGCTCTTGGTTCCTGACCAGAACCTCCACAGCACAGACGTTCTTACATCTGGGAAGTCAGATGTGACCGTCCCTTAGCAAGTCCAGCGCAGACAAAAGCTTCCAGTGGGGCGGAGGGGATGCGCCAGGAGCCTCGCAGCTGGGCAGCCCGCCGGGCTCAGACTCCTCAAGGCACTTCCTGCCACATGGCAGCCAGGGAGAGTGGACAGATGGATGGACGTCTGCACCAAAGCAGGCGGGCAGCCTCTCCCTGGCAGAGGCTCACTCCAGGCTCAGGCCTGACCATCATGCTTCATGAAAAATACAAGATCGATCTGTGAGAAAGACCCAGGATAGGTGAATCCACGGGGACAAAGCACAAACTCTCGCTGAGGGGACGATGAAAATGTTTTGGAACTAGATCAGGATGGTGCCTGACAGCACTGTGAATGTTTTCAATACCTTGAATTGCTCACTTGAAGCAGTTAACTTTGTTAGGTAAATTTTACTTCAACTTTTTTCTTTTTCTTTCTTTTTTTTTTTTTTTCAGTCAGTTGCTGTGTAGCCCAAGCTGCCCATGAACTTGAGGCACTCCTCCTGCCTCAGCCTCCCACAAGCTGGGATTACAGTAGTACGCCACCATGCCCGGCTTACTTTAATTTTTGTAAGAAATAAATGGACAAGGGCTGGGGGTGAGCTCTGTGGTGCATTTGCCTAGCACACTTGAGTCCAAGGTTCCACACCCAGTACTGCAAAAATGAACGAATGGATGGATGAATGAATGCAACAGGTTTTCCTAGCTGTCTGGGTGCGCAAGGCAGGTACTTTGGGCAAGGGTGAGGCTCCTGTCCGCCTCGCTCCCCGTGGACCTCGAGCCCCAGGACAGCGTGGCCCGAGACGGCACATGGGGACAACACATTGGACGAGTGACCAGCACTCACGGACGTCCCTACCTCGCACCCTGGACACAGAACTGCGCCTCTGCTGCTCAAGGAGCTGAAACCGAAAACTAAACAAGAACTTAAAAGAACCACAGACTCCTGCTACGAGGGGAGATTTCCAAAGAAGAAAGGACAGTGTTCCCAGCAGAAAGGCCGGAACTTTAGCAAGCAGCCCAAGAAAGCAGCCTGGGCTCCTGACTGCCTGGGGTGAGGGCTGGAGGCCGAGTTCTCAGGAGGAGCAAACAGGCAGTGTCACCAAGGGTTGCACACAAGTCTGCTGGCCCCAGAGGACCGGGATGGGACCTTCCCGCCCCCGCCCCACTCCCTGTGGCGGAGCTGGCCCCAGGACCCAGGCCGGGGGAATCCTGAGCCCAATCACCCAGAGTTTAAAAAATGTGCAAAAGGGGCCGGGGATTTAGCTCAGTAGTTTCACCGCCTGCTGTGCAAGTGCAAGGACCCAAGTTCAATCCCCGGTACCACAAAAAAAAAAAAATGTAAAAAAAAAAAAGGCCTCAGACTCCTAATGACAGGCTCCCTTTCTGGGCAGCCCTCCCGGAAGACAGGTAAATCGCTACCCAGTAGGAGCTTCAGCTGCCTCCTGCTGCCTCCTCCAACCCCAGAGAAAGGACAGCGCCAGCAGTCTCCCAGTCTGCAGCTTGAAAAAAGAGGATAAAGCAGAACGCACAAATCTGAGTGACACCGGCCAGAACTCCTCCATCCCCATCAAGCCCCTGCTGGGTGCCCCAGCAGTTGGCCGGGTGCTGGGCACGGGGTGTGGCATCTCCCCGCCCTCAGAGGCAGCTGGCACCCACACTGGGTCCCATCCCAGAGTTTCAGGAACTCGAGAATATCCGTTCTTTTTTTTTTTTTTTTTTTGGTACCGGGGATCAAACTCGGGTCCTTGCACTTTCGAGGCAGGCAGTGGAACCACTGAGCTAAATCCCTGGCTGTTTGTTTCTGCTTTTTTGAGACAGGGTCTCTACATAGTCCAGGCTGGCCTTAACTATGTACCCCAGGTGGGCCTCAAACTTGTGGTGATCCTCCTGCCTCAGCCTCCCGAGTGCTGGGATTATAGGTGTGGGCCACCATGGAGAATTTCTATTTCTAAGCAATTCCTGGGGGCGGCCACCCTTGGAGAACCACTGCCCTAGAGCAGCCTGCCTTCTGCGGGAGGCCTCCGGAGACACACCCACTCCCCACTTGTGAGAGCCACCTGCCCTGCCACCCTTCACATGTGGGTGATCCCCGCTGTGAGATCCCCTTCCAGCCAAGGATGCTTTCAAGTTTCTGAGTCAGAAAAAGCAGCTGAAAGAAGAAGAAAGGAAGCAAGCAAGGAAGGAGGCCAACAGCCCAAGCCCTGGCTGCTCCTCAAGGGCAGCCCAGCCTCCCTCTGGGCCCCAGCACCCAGCAGGGGCAACTCACCAAAGTAGTCGGCCTTCGGGTGGGCGTCCAGCTCTCGCTCCAGGCGCTGGGTAAGGGCTTCTAACTTCAGTTCCACAGCGGAGGGGCCGAGCTCAGGGCCGGGGAGGAGCGTCTGGCAGGGCAGCCTCACCCTGGGTGAGCCAGGGGCCTCTGGGAGCCCTGGGCCCAGGCTGCCATCAGGGCACCAGCCAGTGGGACCCTCTCTGCACGACAGCTCTGGCAGGGAAGGCAGCACTGGGAGCACGGGGCCGGCGGGGCTGAGCTTGGGCCCAGAGGCAGAGCCGGAAAGGTGAGCCTTGGGCCCGTCCTGGAACCAGGGCTGGGGGTCCTCGGTGGGCTTGGGCCTGGTGCCTGAAGCCTCACAGCCCAGCTCCGAGTTTGCTCTCTGGAGGGCTCCCTGGCTGGAGGCCGGGGGCACAGACACTAGAGGACTCTGGGGCTGCATGGGGGCCCCGTTCTCCAGGCCCAGGGACGGAGGGAGCGGGCTTACCCGCTGGGATGAGGCGGTGGACCAGAGGCCTGCTGGCTTCTCACTGCCGGGGCCACCACTACTGTCCTGGGCATGGAGGCCACTGTCGGAGGACAGCTGTGGCCAGTACAGGTGCGGGTCCCCACCTGGTCTGAGCAATGAGAGATCACTCCCGGGGGCACCTGGCCACCTGCTCCCTGTCCCCAGGCCAATGCTGGGGGACACACCTGGCCTGTCACCCCAAGAGGGGCTTGCCGGAGACCGAGACAGGTTGTCGTAGTAGTCTCCGTGAGTGAGGCAGGCCGGGTCTTCGCAGGAGCCCGGCTGGTGGCCAGCAGAGCTCTCCGAGCTCCCCAGGCCCTGCCTGGCTGCCCGATCCTGGCTGCCAGGCCTTGGGCCCGGGTCACAAGGCCCAGCCTTCTGCTCCGGGGCTGGGTGCGAGGTCTGCCAGGGAACCGCGGAGCCAGCCACCCCAGGTGCCCCTGCGGAGGCCGAGAGAGGGGGCTTAGCAGCCCCGTCGGCAGCAGGCTTTTGGCCTGGGTGGCCCCTGCCGTGGACAGGACCCTGGCCGCCCCGGGGCAGCGGCTCTTCCTGCAACAGCTGCTGCTGCTGGAGGTGGATCTTGGCCATCTTGGTGGCGAACAGCCTGCGGGTCTCCTCAAACTCAGGGTTGTTGCCCGCGCCCCTGTCCACGCGGAAGAGCCCGTCCTTGGAGGCCTCGTACATGTTCAGGTCCTCGATGAACTTGCTGGCCTCCAGGCCCAGGTCATCGTACTTGTCCATGCTGCCCGGCGCGCAGGTGTCCGGGCCCTCGCAGGGGGCCCGCGGCTGGAGGAGGGGCGGCGGGCAGCGGAGGAGCGGGGAGGAAGCCGGAGGGCGGCGCTCGAGTCCGGCCCGGGGCGAGGACCCAGGGCTCATGCCCGGGACCGCGCAGGGACCTTGCTGCTCCCCCGCCCCCGCCGCGCGCGTCCACGTGGGCGCCGGAGGCCGCTCGGGTTCCCGCCGCTCCTGAGACTCCCGGGATCGCGCCGGCGGGGGAGGAGGCGAGCGCCACGGCTCGCGTGGGTCTCGGGCCTCAGGCCTCGGCGCCCGGACTCCGGGGCGCGCGGCCCATTGTCCGCCGGCGCCGGGCGGGACGCGGAAGTGCGCGGGGCGGGCGCGGGGCGGGGCGCACGCGGGCCGGGGCGGGCGCGCAGGGTCCCGGGCGTCTCTGGCTGCTGGGCCCCGCGGCCGAGCTCCCGCCGGATCAGGTCCCCGCTCCCTTCCTGCCCCGCGCGCTGGCCCCGCCCCCGAGCGCGCAGGGCGGGGACCCGGCAGGGCGGATACCCGCCCGCCTCCTTAGCCGGGGCGCCCGGACACTGGGACCCGGGGAGCGGGGCGTTTCGGGAGCGCTTGCTCCTCGTCGCCCCACCCCGCCTCAGTTTCCCCAGTGGGAAGCCAAGCCTGCGCTCTGTCGCCGCTTCCCAGCCGGCCCGAGACGCGCGATTGGCGGTTAGGGGTGGCTTTGGGACATGTAGGGAGACTGCGGCGGAGAGGGAAACGTCAGAGACGTCGGCAGGAGGAGGCACGGAGGGGTCCGGAGCCGTGGGGCACCAGGAGAAGGCGAGGGCGCCTCCCCACTCCTCATTTGTTTTGTTTGATAAGAGGTCTCGCTGAGATGCACCCGGGACTCGAACTCGAGAGCGCCTGACCCCAGGCCGACCCGCCTGATCCCGGTGGCCTGCAGGCCGCGCCCTTGCCGCCCTGAGGCGACCTGCCATACCCCAGTCCCAGCGCTGCGCGTGGACGCGAGGCGCCACCTGGCGGGCATTTCCTGCTCCGGCCTCCCCGCGGCCTCTCCGGACCCGGCCGGACCCCGCCTGAACCCGGGCCCTTCCCGTCCAGCTGTGCTCCCCTCGGGAGCGCCCTTCCGGGCGCCGCCTCCGAGCCGGCCCCTCCTATCCGCGGGTGCTGGTTCCGGGCCCGAGACGCCAACTCACACCCTTCCATACTCGGGAAGCCGTCCTGGGCGTTTGGAATCGCAGCCCTCGGAGGCTGAGGCAGGAGATCACAGTGAGTTCTAGGCCAGCCTGGACTCCGGTGAGACAGTATCTCAAAGAGAAAGAACCCAAAACCCCAAATCCCTACATCACTTGTAATGCCTAATGCAATGGGAGTGCTTTATAAATAGTTATTACTCAGGGAATAATGACCAGAAAGTAAAATCTGAATGTTTCCTATACAGCCTTTTCTCTGAATATTTTCTGTCCGCTCGCTGAACCGCAGGTGAGGACCCCGGACACAGGCGGCCACACTCATTCGTCCGCAGCCTGTTCTCTGGCTTGGCTGCTGGCTCTCCCGCCCCCGGGGTCACTGTACGTGTGGGGTCTCACAGCCTCTCCGCAGGGTCGTGACAGGGAACAAGCAAGACCCTGTCGAGGCGGTGCTTTGCGCTCAGCCCCGGGCAGCTCCCGCCAGCAGGCCAGAGCCCAGACGAGATCCTAGAACAGGAAATCTGCGGCCCCAGCCCCAGCTGCCCAGCCACGCCAGCACACGCACGGGGGAGGAAAGGACAGTTGCAAATCTCTGCTAGAATTAGGTGCTTCCATTTTACAAGAATCTAGGATCTTCTCTGCCTGGGAGTGGTGCATGGGCTTGTCATCCCAGCCCTGGGAAGGCTGAGGCAGGAGGATCACTGTGAGTTTGAGCCCATGCTGGGCTGTGTAGTGAGTTTCAGGCCAGCCTGGCCTACACAGTGGGAATCTGTTAAAAAAAAAAAAAAATACGAGGAAGAAAAGAAAGAAGCAGCAGCAGCGTCGTGGAGGGCTGGGGGTGTAGCTCAGTGCAGGGCACTCACCTAGGGGTGAAGCCCTGGGTTCCAAGCCCAGCACCCAGTTTCTTTTTTTTTTTTTTTTGTACCAGGGATCAAACTCAGGACCTTGTGCTTGCCAGACAGGCACCAGAATCACTGAGGTAAATCCCTGGCCCCCCAGCATCCAATTTTTTAAAATGCTGTAAAGCTGGAGTCCCAGAGGCATCGAGCCAACCAAAACAGCATGGACAAGACCACTCAAAAGTGCTGGGCATGGCCAGGACCTGCAGATGTTTTGCAGCTGCTGCCTAATACTTATGAGCCAGAGAGTGGATGGATTCATTTCTTTTCTTTTTTCCATTCTGTGGGGCTGGGATGGAAGCCGGGCTTTGGGCAGACAAGGCAAGTGCTCTACCACGGCATCAGAAGCAGAATCTTTCAGATTCTATACACAGCCTTTACAGTCCAGGCACGGGTATTTGACATGGGCCAGTTTTGTGTGTTTTGTGTGCCTAGAAACCCCTGTTGATTCATACCTCAAAAGATGTGTTCAGAACTGGGTGTGGTGGTTCACAGCTTTGATCCTAACATTCGAGAAGCTGAGGCAGGAGGATCCCTGTGGAGTTCAAGGCCAGCCTGGGCTCCATAGTGAGACCCTGTCTCAAAAAAACAAAAACCCAACCAGCAGACAACCAATAAATAAATCCAGTCTGCTGGTCTGTCTTCACTGGGGCGTTGAGATCTCAGGAGTGCTACTATTGTAAGGTGTTTACTGTATCCTGCCGTTGCATTACTTTCCAGTGCTGAGTCCTTTCTTTTTTCCTTTTGTTTCACTACCCTTCCAGTCAGCTGCACACTGTCCTCTGGGCTCTTCCTTGTCTCTGTCTAGGATTCTGTTAAGTATTTTGGGGTTTTTTTTGGTAACGGGGACTGAACTTGGGTCCTTGCGCTTGCAAGGCAGGCGGTGGAACCACTGAGCTAGATCCCCAGCCCCGACAATTGTTTTCTTTCAGACGTTGAAACACTTCGCTCCAGGCTGTCCTGGCCTTTGAGGTTTGTGCTGAGAAGTCTGCAGTTACTCTGATACACTCGCCTTTATGGATTACTTGCTATTTTTCTCTGGCAGCTTTTAGTATTCTCTCTTTTTGTTGAATTTCTAGAATTTCGATCATGATGTCATTCCAAAAGGTCTTTTCTGGTCATGGCTACTTGGGATTCTGTGTGCCTCTTGTACTTGAATATTGAATTCTTCCACTAGGTGTACAATTCTTTTTCCTCTCTGATTTCAGCAAATGCTTTTGTTTTGTTTTTTTTGGGTTTTTTGGTACCAAGGATTGAACTCTGGTCCTTGCACTTGCGCAGCAGGCGGTGAAACCACTGAGCTAAATCCCCGGCCCGCAAATATGGTTTTATACCTTTTGAGCTGTCTTCTAACTTTTCATTATTCCCATATTTCTGAGGGGTTTTGAGTTGTCTAGCAGCTGTCAGGTGCAGCTTTCACAGTGTCTTGTCGTTTTTAGGGGGTGCTGGGTCTACAATTGGCGACACCCACTTGTCTTCTATTTCCGACCCTCTGTCCTCTCGCTGAGCACCTGCCGCCAGGGTTGGTCACTGGATCTCACATCCTGGATCTCTGCTTTCTCTCCGTAACTTCTAATTCATTCCCAGGTGGCCACTCCTCTCTTGTACTGCCTTCCTTGGCTCAGTTTATTGCTATTATTGCCTGAGCCGTGTTTTGTTTGATGTTCACGCCCCTCTTCAGTGTACTGTGTGACATTTGAGGGTGATGTTCAGTGTCTGACCTTCTGGGGGCTTGAGCCCCAGAACCGATCTCTACTTTGAGGAGACAGGTCCCCCTCCTCAGGAGCTGGGCTTAGTGTCCCCGCCTGCTTCCTTCTTTTCTTTGCAGTTTCTTCAGTTTCTCCAGATTATTTGTAGTTTTTCTGGTTTTCCTGTCACTTCCTCTTGATTCCTGGGGCCCAACTCCTTTCCATTCCTAAGTTCTTGGTTTCTGGGTGTCTCAAATCCAGGTCTCAGAGGGGCTGTATTTGGCTGTCTGTTTTGTTTGTTCATCTGGTTTTGTTTTGACTTCCCTCGGGTCTCCTGCTGTCTTAGGTACTTTTCTCGTTGCTGAGACAAAACACCGACCCTCAAAGTTAAAGGAGGAAAGGTTTATTTGGCTCACAGTTTGTAGGTCTATGGTCCCTGGCTCCAGGGCAGAGGAGAAACAGTCCATGGCAGGCAGGAGGCAGCAACTGCGTGACAAACTGCAAGTCACTAGCAGCCAGCCTCTTTCTGTCCTTCTTACCCAGGTTGCCCACCCCAGGCGCTCACACCCTTAATCCCAGCACCCTAACCCTAGTGTTGCCCTATGAATCAATCTCATGCTCTGTATCCAGCCACCCGGAAAAGCTCCCCTGTGACTCCATAAGGCTCTGGAGGACAGCTGGACTCAGCCACGACACCCATGCCATTCTCTTGCTGAACAAACATTGCCTCGCCTAGCACCTCGGTGACTTGGGCTCTTTCCAGGGGTTGCAGATATGGTGCATGGGCACCGCCATTCCAACCCTTGCAATCTGGGAGTAGGTGGAGAGGGGGACAGGAAATAGAAGGTAAGGAGGTGTGGGACCAGGAAGCCAAGAAGAGGACATGGTGGGGGGCTCAGGGGGGTGTAAGGGTCAGAGAAGGTGACAGGCTTCATCCAGCAATACCGCAGGCTATAAGGCCGTGCCAGGTTTGCCAACAGATTCACTCTCCCAAGGGATTTCGATTATGGCAACCAATGAAATGGAGGGTGTGTGTGTGCCCTGGGAGAGACTGACAGACAGATTGCACCCCTACACCCAATGGCAGGAGAATCCATGACCTCTCAGTGTGGGGAGACACTTTCACCAATGGGGGCCCTGCCTGTGTAAGAGAGAATGCTTCAGAGGTGCTAAAGACTTTTAACTTCAGAAATGATTCCGAGGTTGGGACTCCCCAAAGTCTTCCTGCAAGGCTGCTGTCACCCAGGGAGTATCCCCAGCCCTGGGAAGCGACACCATCTCCACTGTGCCTTAGAGGCCACAGTCCTCAGGAAAGGTAGAAAAGACAAGTGACCTCCGAGGAAGCTCGCCTGGGACATTGACCTTCCCTGGCCTGCCTCCTTCCTTTGGCCCTGATATACACCAGAAACACACCCCAGACTTGGGCTCGGCCCCTTTAAAATGCTGTCCAGGTGCCCCTTTCTCACCAACTATTTTTTAGTTGATAAGAAATTGAGGTCAGGGCCGGGGATTTAGCTCAGTGGTGTTGCCGCCTGCTGCGCAAGCGCAAGGACCCAAGTTAGATCC